AAATAGCAGAACAGACCGGGTTCTATAGCCTTGGATGGCAACTGGTCTACCGTAGAAAGAAATAGCAACCTATTTCGGGAAAAAAAACTCTGCCTTGTCAGTCATGTATCGAAATTCCAATCACCTGAAGAAGGCCGGAGCGTACAGCGGTTGAAATGTTGTAAATATGGCAATAAAGATGAGGGCAACCATGTAAACAATGTAGATAATTATAATAACTCATCTCAGAAATATAGACAGATATTTAGTCGCCAGTTTTCAAAGCTTTTGTTTGTTTTTGCTGCTGTGAGGGTGTGCGAGTTTCAGTGTCTGTTTTGGCGTGTGAGTTCAATTTATTAAAAACCGTTACTATTGTTGAGAAGCATTTTTTTTTTTTTTAACTTAGTTGTTTTTAGAAAAACCTATAATAGAATTTCAATTAAAATGTTTGTGTCCGTCTGGTATCGTCCCACAAAAGCTAACCAGTTGTGTATGAAACTAATAATTTATTATTCCCGGTCCTACAAACCAACATTAAATTTCAAGCCCTCACTGGCACGACACGTGATATCATTTTCCTCGTCTGGTTCTTTCAATTATTTATTACATTACCTTTTTGTTTTTTATAATGTATTGGCGCCAAGATAAAGTAATTTTCTTGTCCATGTCTTCAAATAGAGTGATTGCCAGGTTAAAGCCACTCGAAACATCAACAGTGTGTATCATGAGACAGAAAAATAGTCATTTCATGCAATTCACACTAGACATCAATGAAATTGACATAAGGTCAGTTCTGGCCGCCGTTTCTAGAGTGTGTGTCCTAGCATCTTCATCAGTCCAGGGTAGTCTCTTACACACTGTAGCCGGAGAAATTCCAAAGTAGGAATCATCAGTATTATCAGTAAGCTAATCTGGCGATTCAGTTTTCAGTCACTTTCCCGCTGCCGTGAAATTGCCTCCCTGTGTCTTTTCTATAAATACTTTCATGGTAATTGTTCGAATGAGCTCTTCGCTATGGTAGTTAGACTGTATGAATTTAAGCGAAATACAAAACTGGCTGTTAGGTCTCATCACTTTACAGTTGAGTCGTAAATTCTATGCTAACAGTTTCTTCTCTCACACTTCTCGCTCGTGGAACTCCCTTCCGGCTCCATGCTTTCCAGCCAACTTTAATCTGCAATAATTTAAATGCAATGTCAAACGCTATCTACTGTCCCTCTGATTGCTATTTTCTCTTCTCGTTCATTAGTAATGTTTCTGTTCCTAATTCTTCCACAATCAGTAACCCCATGTGTCTTAGTGGCTTTACTGCCTTGCATGGCGTGAAACCGATAAAAAAATGTAAGACTCACCTACCGGACGAGGGCTGGGGAGCCGCATCACATTAACACTGATCGACAGTAACTGAAGAAATATTGGAGTGAATAAATTTTTAAGTAATGATGATTCAAATCTCGTGTTAACATTTAATCGGCACTCCCCCATTTCATTATAAATCTTTGGAGGTTGCAATCAGCTTCAGAAATGGAGCGTGTGTGGCTGATTTCTAAAATTTAATCTGTACCTTCTACACGAGCTTGTTCTGCGTCTATGTTAAAAAAAATACACCATTTTCTTGATCGTGTGGCTACTTTTGATAAACAGTTTTCTCTTCATGGTAAACAAACATATTGCTCTTCACCTTTGTTCTCTCTTCAACAGTCCTAAAACGAAATATTCACCCCTCCTTACAATCATCGTTCCAGCCATTTTCTGATGCTGTAATAGAATTACTCATTGCAAGCCGGTCATACTATATTTTCAGTATGCCTTCATATAGTAATGGCTGGCCGTTCTTATCTGCACGTTTATAAAACTACCATTCGTCCGTACATTGCATACTATTGCGATATATCTAGTCTGATGCTTTTGTTGCATATCTCGCGGCACTTGACGGTATCCAAACAAGTGTCTGTAATGTAATCGATCCTGACAGCGTCTCGACTTCTGTCACTTTTCTCACTAACGTGACATGGCTTCCCACCTCTGTTTTCTACAAATATTTCCATGGCAATTGTTCTTATCCTTTTTCCCCTGGTGTCCCGACTGAATGAATTTAAGCGTGCTACTAGGTTGGCATCTAGGCCTCATCCGCTTTACTGTTGAAACAACTAAATGCAACCCCCTCCTCTTTAACAGTTTCTTTTCTCAAACTTCCCAACCCTTGAAGCCCCCCCCCACTTCCGATTTCTTGCTTCCCTGTCAACTGCAATCTTCACAAATTTAAATGCAACGTCATTTACCATTTTTCTTTTTCTTGGACCCTGTCCTTTTTTTGTTGTCCTTTCCTTAATCCTCCCCATTCTCAGTTTTTTTTTCATTCTATTTCACTTTCAATTCTTGTAACCACCAGCGTTCTAGTGACATTACCACCTTACATGGGTTAAAATGATTAAGAAAATGTATCCGAGTATGCGTATCTGCTAGGGCGGCTAGCCAATCCCTATTGCAGACGCCTGCTCAGTCACATTTCTGTTTATTCAACACCCACTTCATATATATATATATATATATATATATATATATGGATACTGAGATCAACACTGAGCAGCGACGGTCTGTTTCATGCTTGAACGTAATATTCAGGCTTTGTGTGTTGTATATAATAAATAAACAAATTAAGTTAATAATAAATAAATCAATAAACTACCAATGTACACACAAACAAAAGTCAATGTCATAATAATAATAATAATAATAATAAGCAGAAATAAATAATTAAATGATCAATAATAAATAATGATTAAAAATTTAATAAACAACGTTATGAAATAGCTACAAATAATTGCATTCGGATCTACAATTATTTGTATTCAATCGCGTCTAGAATGCTCCAAAGTATAAGCGCTACCGCTTACCCAATAACTGTTAGAATAATACAATACACCTTGCTACCCATAAAGCACCATTGGCCAGCATATATAAATAGTCAAGTCAAAGGACACATAGTCTGAAGATTGCGTTCAAGCATGAAACAGACGGTCACTGTTAGGTGTTGATATGTGTCCAGTTTTATGTTAACATACGCTCTATCCCTGATATTGAGCATTTTTATCCATAAATATAGCATACATTAAAATATATATTTTTATAATATGTATATATATATACTTATTATATATATTTAGAGAGAGAGAGAGAGATAGGAGGGAGAGAGGGAGGGAGAGAATACGAAAGAAATATATAAAAGTAAGTGTTTCGTAAACTAATTTCGCAGACCTTTCTTTTGTTTTCAGGGTGGGAATGAATACACACAAAATTGGCGCGACCTTCAAAATTCGTTAATTAGTCATAAATAATCTCAATAATAGAAGATAATAATAATAATAAAATTTATAGATAATATCAGAAAGATTAGTTTATTCAACGCGGCTTTAATTACAGCCTCATTATGGCCTAAAAGAAAACTACAAGCCTTTAATAAATACTTGGATATCTGGGACCACTACTCGTTAATGCAAACCATGAAATTACTGATATTGGGGTCTTGATGGTGGTCGACTCCCAAACGTCCAATGTGGCACAGTCTATCGGGATCAGATCCAAGCTGGAGTTGGATTGCTTGACTAAGTTGTTCTTTACGGTTTATCAACCACTTGGAAGGTTGTTTAAAGCAGGGAAACAATTTTTACATTGTAAGAATTTCTTGGAGAAAATAATGAAATAAGTTATTGATAGCGCGGAGGAAAAGAGATGGATTCCTACCTTTCCCAAGGATATTTGTGCGTAAATTCAACTGTAAAATGCTGAGACCTAGCCGCCAATCTAGTACTGCTTTTAAATTCTTAAAGTCAAGGTACCAAAGAGTAAAGCTCATCAGAACAATTACCATGAAAATATTCATAGAAGCTACATTAAGGCGCTGGGAAAATATTTGAAGCTGAAATGTTAGATTAGGACCAATAACAAGGCAGAAATTTCTTTGTATTTTATCACTATATATATATATATATATATATATATATATATATATATAGTGATAAAATACAAAAGAAATTTCTGCCTTGTTATTGGTCCTAATCTTTGTATTTTATCACTATATATATATATATATATATATATATATATATATATAAGTGTACATTGAAGTCAACACTTAGAGGCGACAGGCTGTTTCATGCTAGACGCAATCGTCAGACCGGCCAGCGTGAAACAGCTTGTCGTGTTGACTTTATGTTCACTTTTATATTTACACACGCTCTATCTCTGATATTGAGCACTTTATCCCATAAATATAGCACACCTTAAGGGTATATTTCTTCATATATATATATATATATATATATATATATATATATATATATATATGTGTGTGTGTGTGTGTGTCTGTGTCTGTGTGCGTGTGTCTGTGTGTTTCTGTGTGTTTGCGTGCCTGTGTGTGCATGTGCGTGTGTTTGAAAATTCATATGAAAATAAAATGTATCTGTAAAAACAATATAAATAACAGAAAAAAGGAAAACGTTTCTACCAACGCGTTTCTTTCCCTGTTGAACTTTATCAAGCTAAATGTAGGGGGTCTATTTCTTAGCTTGTATTTGCACACATAGAGGAAACTATCTTTAAGTTTTCAAATTGAGTACGCTCTAAAATATTCTGAAAGCTTGCTGTGTAAGGCAAGCTAAAAAAAACTAATTTATTGCCTATAAAAGAAAAAGAGTAAATGTTGAATTTGTTTTGCATTGTTAATATCATTATTATTTAAATCAATGTGTTTTACTTTATTTTGTTTAATAATTTATGTATCAAATTATTTATTTTAGATATTTAAAGGTTTTGAGTTAATTGTTTAACTTATTTTAAAAAAAAATCATGGTCATGTGTATTGACTTGAGAAAGCAGATCTATTTTAAGAAAGGAGATATTTGAATAAATCCAGGACGTAATTTGTATGCGTGTGTGTATGTGTGCGCGCATACGTGTACAGATAGCGAGAGAAGGAAAGACTGAGATATATAGATAGACAGACAGAGACAGAGAGAAAGCTAGAGAAAGAGAGAGTGAGAGAGAGAGTGAGACAGAGAAAGAGAGAGTGAGAGAGAGAGTGAGAGAAAGAGAGAGAGAAAGAGAGAGAGAAAGAGAGAGTGAGTGAGAGAATGAGAGAGAGAGAGAAAGAGAGAGTGAGAAAGAGTGAAAGAGAGAGTGAGTGAGAGAATGAGAGAGAGAGAGAAAGAGAGAGTGAGAAAGAGTGAAAGAGAGAGTGAGAAAGAGTGAAAGAGAGAAAGAGAGAGAGAGAGAAAGAGAGAGTGAGAAAGAGTGAAAGAGAGAGTGAGAAAGAGTGAAAGAGAGAAAGAGAGAGTGAGAGAGAGTGAGACAGAGAAAGAGAGAGTGAGAGAGAGAGTGAGAGAAAGAAAGAGAGAGAGAAAGAGAGAGTGAGTGAGAGAATGAGAGAGAGAGAGAAAGAGAGAGTGAGAAAGAGTGAAAGAGAGAAAGAGAGAGTGAGTGAGAGAATGAGAGAGAGAGAGAAAGAGAGAGTGAGAAAGAGTGAAAGAGAGAAAGAGAGAGTGAGTGAGAGAATGAGAGAGAGAGAGAAAGAGAGAGTGAGAAAGAGTGAAAGAGAGAAAGAGAGAGTGAGAAAGAGTGAAAGAGAGAAAGAGAGAGTGAGAGAGAGGTGAATAGTAAAATATTTGGTGGCTTAAATTTTATACACTTTGAACAATGGGTGTCAAATTTTAATTTAAGTATTCCTGCAAATTTCTCTTCCCCACCTTATGGTGAGCTCGATATTGGCCCATATCACCTGACGAGTGGACCGAGTGATTGCTACGAAACTCTGCAGTCGGGATGCTGAAGGTAACACCAATCAGCTATGTGACAAATTTTATATTTCTATTAATTCTCTCTCTCTTTCTTCCCTCTCTCTCTCTCTCTCTCTATATATATATATATATATATATATATATATATGCATGTATGTATGCATTTATGTATGTATGTGTGTGTGTCTTCGTGTGTAGATATAGAGAGACAAAGATAGTGAGAGAGAAAGAAAGAAAGAGAAGGAAAGAGAGAGCAAATAGCAAGAGAGAGGTTACTTTAAATGTTTGGGTCTTTGAACAAAACGCACAAATATAGTACGGACGTTCTGAGCTGCATCATTTTTTTTAACCAGTGGTCAAAAATAAGAGACAGAATTCTTCGAAGGATACATTGAAAACTAGGTATCAAAGTATGTCATTTTCGATCATGGTCAAATATAACGATATTATATGAAGATATAGATGGATTTCAAGAGACTAAGATAGATATTAACAGATTTAGATAGATAAATAGATAGATATTAGTAGACTGATATATATCTATATGTCTATATCTATCTATCTATCTATCTATCTATCTATCTATCTATATATATATATATATATATATATATAATAAATGCGAATGTCAAGTTTTCATTAGTGCGATTGTTTTTGGCGATTTTTTACGTGATTTTTTGTGACGAAATTTTGTACGATAACAATTTTTATAAATTTGAGAATAATTGAAATTAATTGCAAAATCCAGCGAAAGTCACCCACGAAATGAAAATAATTGTTTGTGTGGAAAGTAAGGTCCTACGTAAATCAAAATGTCTTTTAATTAAGTGGTGGAAGAAGAATTATCATTGAACTTTTAAAAGGTAACCTTAAATATTAATGCAATACTTAAATGCAGCGATCAATTTTGAGTTCTTCTGTAGTTTATTGATGCCTATCGCATGCGCTCTGATGAAAACATGCAATGATAACAGCAAAAATTACAATATTAGCACTGGTAAAAAAAATGGTTGCTGAAGACATTAGGTTTATAATACCCAGAAATTCATACACAGATGTCCTCAAGGACACATGACACAGTGGATAAAAGCGTTAGTTAGATCCAATGACAAGACTCAGAGTTAAGGCGGTGGAGAAGTTGGAGAGGGGAATTAACTGACATCCATTAGACATGGCACGTGGAACTAGAACAGTCTGCCCCAGTGAGCGAAATAAAGGACTCAATTCGACATTCCAACCACCTGAAGAAGACCGGAGCTCACAACAGCCGAAACGTTGTAATAAATATGGCGACAAAGATGAGGACAATAGTCCGAATAATGTAAATAGTGTACATAATACCTCATCTCAGAAATATAGCCATATATATATATATATATATATATATATATATATATATATATATATATATATATATATATAGAGAGAGAGAGAGAGAGAGATACGACCGGAGGGAAATAGATAGGTATGAACAGGCCATATATATATATATATATATATATATATATATATATATATGAGCCTGTTATATATATATATATATCCATATATATGCGTGTGTATACATAGGGAGAAGATAATAGGGACAATAAAGACAAACAAATGAAGAAATCATTTAAACCTTAAAGAGTAGAGAAAAACAAAAGGAAAAGAGAGAGGGAGTAAGAAGTAAAATGAGAGATAAAAAGACAAAGAAATAATGAGTGAAAGAGAAATAGAGAAAGAGAGAAAGAGTAAGAGGTAGAATGAGAGAGAAAAGAGAAAGAACGGATAAGAAAGAAAATAAAGGTAAAAAAAGAAAGAGAAAATGAAATCGCGAATGAGCGATAGAAAGAGAGAAAGAGTAAGAGGTAGAATGAGAGAGAAAAGAGAGAGAAAGAACGAGATAGAGAAGGAGAAAAAGAAAGAATAAGCCGTAGATTGGGAAATAAAAAGTGTAAGAAAGAATAAAAGAGTGCGATGTAAAAAAGAAAGAAAGAAAGAAGAGGGGAGAAAGAAGTGGAAAGAAAGAAGAGGGAATAAAAAAGAAGAAGAGAATGAGAGAGATGAATAGAGTAAAATTTACAGGAAAAACGCTTAGCTTGTGCATTGTCTACCCGTTAAAAGAAAAGAAGAAAAGAAGTGTTTGATGGTACATTGTCGCTACATTTTTTGATGAGCTGTTCAGGGGTGTCTGGAACGATAGTCGCTTCGTGGTATTACGAGATAAATGATTATTGCAATGTAGGTCAACCAACCATGGTGCCTCAGTTGGCTTTACATAGAGGGGAGGTGGGAGTAAGAGAGAGAGAAAGAGGGAGAGAAAGAGGGAGAGAAAGAGAGAGAAAGAGAGAGAGAGAGAGGTCAGTTCTTCCTCGAACAGACACTGGACCTGATAATCAAGGTACACGTCTGGGTCTTATCCAATATGAAGGTAAGTGACCAATGAACCATTTCTATCCAAAATAGGATTTTTTTAAAAGCCAATATTTTCAATGTTCTGTATTTTTTTCCCTCTTTCTTTTAGCTGATTTTTTTTTAGTTCTTCTTTTATTCAAATGTAACCTGCTTTTGTGTCAGTCACCTCTTACTGTCGCAAATCTCAAACTGGGAGTCTACCAATATAAACTGTGCCAATTTAATACAACTGACTCGTGGGAGCTGGTCGGCTGATTGCGAAAATTTGCCTGTTACCCCAAATTACATTGCGATTTTCACATAGAACATTGTTTTCGAGATAAATAGGCAGTATAATAGACCCTTGGGACAAAAGGAACGCGATAACAAACATGACAAGTTTAAAACATTAATAGTTAAAACGTGACATTTTAATGTACCCAATGTCAGGTAATTATTTTTTCATAATAAAATTAGTATAAACCAGCCGCTGTTTACAAAGTTACCAGAATATACATATAATTATGTTAAATATATATAGGATGTGAGTTGAAACTTTTAATATCAATGAGGTGTCGGGTTTTATTTTGCATACACAGTAAGGATAACATTATGTTTTTGTTTTTATTTTATAAACATTCTATATATAAAATTCTGTGACTTCCGTTAGTTTGTCCGTCACACACTCTAAAATGGCCATACATTGACTGATCGAAACCAACATTTGGGGGAGAAGTGCAAACAGGTAAGGGGGGGGTACAAAGTACATTGCGTTTTACTAGGGTGCGTAGCTTAGTACAATGCATTTCCATTCATTTTTTTTTGACGAAAAATTAAATGTTTTATTATTTTACATACAAAACACACTCTTTTAAAAACAATGATTAAAACAACAAATACTTATTTAATAAAAATGCAAAATTGTTTTTTTTTGCATATATTTTCTTTAAGTTTTTATATATACAAGAATCCAGTTTCCAGTTCGCCCTGCGTTTGCGAGAACTATAAACAAATCACCAGGCCAAATGCTTCAAAAAGTTGGAATCTGATTTCATGAAAGAAATATTTACGCATCGCCAGTTGTATGTTGCATGCTCTAGAGTAAGAAATTCTAAGAATTTATTCTTCGCTTTTAAAAAGGAAAAACGAAAAAAATGTATTAAAAAAAATTGTATATTATGAAGTCCTATAAAATTAAAGAAATTATTAAACCGCGTGGTAGGTTTTTTGTTAAAGTATTTTTCCAAACAAATCAGCTTATTCAAATTTTATCGATTGGTTTGCGAAATTGAACGAAACGTAGTTTGTAAATTTCAGCAAAAATATTAGCGATAACTTCAACAATACTAACTACTTTAAGGACTCTAGTCATATAAAGATGTGCAGGCTATAAAAATATATCTTTCATTGACACTTTTTCTTCATGTTCCGCGTCCCCTCATGATGTAGGCGATCATGGCTCTTCACTATTTCCTGTCGTTTGTAGCACTTAATAAATTTTGTCTTTTTATTATTTCTCCTAAACCCTGTTCAGCCATACATTTACTTAAACTAATCAAGCATGTTATGCATTGTTTTACTCTGTACCTCTTGTATTCATTCTGTCTTATGAGTGTTAGTTTTTCCAAGCCTTTTTCCCTCATTATGTGCCCTAGAAATTTCAACTGACGCTTCCTGAAGTTTTCTTTTTGTTTCCATTTTCTCTAAAACTTCGTCATTGCCAACATAATCGGTCCATGGTATCCTAAACATTCTTCTGCAGAACCACATTTCTGTTGCTTCAAGGTTCTTCTTCATCTTTGAGGAGATTGTCCAACACCCACTGCGATACAGGAGGATAGATATAACAATTCAGTAATCTTTTCTTTATTTCTAACGATGATTTTTTTTTCCTGTTTTTTAATACTCTGCTTAGCTTTTGGAATGCATCTTTGGCTATCCCGGATTTCAGTGTGGCACTTTTCGTTCTCTCTGAAAGCACTTCCCTGATATTTAAGTTTTTGTACTTGTTTGATTTTGGTATCTTCGATTAGTAATTCACATTTTGGGTTCATCTTTTTTTCTAACAACCAGGCATTCTGTTTTTTTTTTTTGCAGTTGATGTTAAATCATTTCCTCTCGCATTCCTTCACTATCTTTTGTAAGAGTTTTTGAAATTTTATTTCCGTGTCTGCTATCAGCACCGTGTCATCTGTATATCTAATGTTTTTAACATTATGGGAGCTAATAATGAATCCTGGTAGGACTTCGAATTCTCTCAGAATTGCTTCACTGTATAGGTTGAATAAGTCCGGCGAGAAGATACATCCTTGTCTTACACCCCTTTCTATTTTTGTATATCTGCTGAACTCATTTTCTATCCGTATGCAGACGGCTTGCAACCACTATAAGTTCTATCATTTTAAATGCAATTAATCTCTTTTTGTCATCATATAACCTTTCTTAATCTTTTTTTGATTAAATCTTTTAACCTGTCTATGTTTCTGAGATGATGTATTATGTACACTATTTACATTATTCGGACTATTGTCCTCATCTTTGTTGCCATATTTATTACAACGTTTCGGCCGTTGTACACTCCGGCCTTCTTTAGGTGGTTGGAATGTCGAACTGAACCCTTTATTTCACTCACTGGGGTAGACTGTTCTAGTTCCACGTGCCATGTTTAATGGGTGTCAGTTATCAGTTATCTCCTGTTAATTCCCCTCTCCGAGTTCTCCACTGCCTTAACCGGGTATCTTTGGATCCTATCACTGGATCTAACCAACCCACTTTATCCACTGTGCCATATGTCCTTGAGATCCAGTGACACGACCCAAAGAGTGTGAGCCCAAGACCCGGTTAAGGCAGTGGAGAACTTTGAGAGGGGAATTAACAGGAGATAACAACTGACATCCATTAAACATGCTATTCCTTGACCGTTATAATCGCATAGCAATCTTCATGTCAAAATGTCAAAATAACAGAATATCAGTTTAAATTTGATGGTGAATATGAAGATGGTTTAAATGTCTATATAGAACACTCTGAAGATGGTTCTTCTTTATTTTCGATCAAAAACAGCATAATAAAAACTCATAATGAAAAATGTTTTTAAAATATATATCCAAAAATATTAAATAATATTTAGAACGACTCATGATGTATATGGTGAATATAAAAGTTATAAAGTCTATATAGCATATATATATATATAAAAAAATATATGTATATATATATATGATGAAACGACTTCGATCAATTTTTGTTGTTTAATAAAAAATATATATATAAATGTTGTATACATATATGTATATATATTTTGCACACTTTATTCATGATATATAAAAATTTAAACATTTATATTTGTTTTTATATATGAACATTTCGTATAAAATCATTTTAGGATGAAAAATAATTTATATATATATATAGACATATATGTATATATATGATAACAAGTTTATATAATATGAATATATATTATATTTATACAATATATATATATGTATATATATATATATATATATATATATGTATATATATATATATATATTTGATAATTTGAATGTATCTATGTATATATATATATACTTATATATATATATATATATATATATGTATATATATATATATATATATATATATATATATGTATATATATATAAATATATATATATATATATATATGCAGTTATATTTTTATATATGTATATATAAATTTATATATATACATACATTGACATATATAAATGTATATATATATATATATATATATATATATATATATATATATATATATATATATATGTATATATATATATATATAGATATATATATATATATATATATATATATATATATATATATATATATATATATATATATATATATATACATATATATATATGTATATAATATATATATATATATGTATATATACATTTGCATATATATATGTTTGTGTGAAAATTGTAAAAGGAGAAAATAGGAAAGAACACGTTAGGTTAATAATCCGAAGTTCTTTAGTATTTTTATTTTAATTTTTAAAAAACAGTGCTCAATACATAAGTAGAGCCTAAATTATATATATATATATATATATATATATATATATATATATATATATCACTCACAATACTGGTCAAACCATGATATCGATTTCAGACACATTCCAAAGGTGGAGCGCGCTGGGATAGCCTCCCTGGTCGAAGACATCAAGAAGTCATGGTGAGAAAGCTAAAGTTCTAATCACTCGGAGAAACGCTTTTTCTAAGTGAAAACCCGATTGTCCCTTTTGCATTCTGTCTTCCTGTAGTTGATGTTTAGTCCTATATTTTCGCTTTCCTTCATTACTTTCTGGAGGAGCTTTTGTAGTTTTCTTTTTAAGTGACTGCTATCAACACTGTGTGACGCTTGTTGATGTCATTTTCCAGTGTTGTGTTCCCATCACAACTTGCAGAATTTAACTCACATTCCCTGAATTCAAGACTAGTATATAACTAACGAATAATTTGTATGAATGAATAGTAAAACAAAACAAAACAAAAAAATAAAAACAAAGAGGAATAGTAAAGTTTTAATAGTTATAGGAAGTTGTGGAGGTCCATGATCACCCACGTTCTTGAAGGACATACCACATAAAAGAAGATTGTTTTGATTTTCATGGGTTATCAGCTCTTTGTCGTTTATTGAAACCGAAATATATGTCAGATTTTAAGAAAAATATTTTTTTACAAATAATTTTAGGTTTTTTGCTTTTTTTTTTTTAAATTGTCATGTCATTTCAGTACATACATTACAGTTCAAAAGTTTGAAGCAATTCCCAGAATTAGCATGAGATGAACTTGACAGCAGAGTTTTTCAAAAAATGAAAAAGAGCTCTTAGAATCATTGAAAAAAGAATGGAATCAATTATGAAACTTATACTTTGAGAAACTTTTGCAATGAATGCAGGGATAAGGGAGGATATATTGACGAGAGCAAAATGTAATCATAAATTTTTTTCGATTTTGTCATAATAAAACTTCTAACAAAAAATCATGTCTCACTTGTTATTTAACTATGTATAACAATTTCCTCTTATTTAAAGTATAAAACGTTGAGGCCAATTTAAAAAAATACCAGGGTTCGCTTCAAACTTTGAACTGTATATATATATATATATATATATATATATATATATATATATATATATATATATATATATATATATATATATAGTGTATATATATATATATATATATATATATATATATATATCATACACGCATCATACTCACTCACTCCCTAAGAACCAAATAACACACACACACACACTTAACAGAGACACGTCCCCTTTCCAGGAACCA